ACTGAAGACTGGAGTAATGATGCTGAAAATACAGCTGCGCATCACAGAAATAAATTACATTTTAACACATATTCACATAGAAAACAGCTGTTTTAAATAGTAAAAATATTTCAAAATTTTACTGTATTTGCTGTACTTCGGATCAAAAAAATGCAGGCTTGGTGAGCAGAAGAGGCTTCTTCAAAAAAACATTAAAAATCTTACTGTTCAAAAACTTTTGACTGGTAGTGTATACATATGATAGAAATATAAGAGGGTGAGAAGAAGTCTCTTCTGCTCACCAAGCCTGCATTTTTTTGATCCGAAGTACAGCAAATACAGTAAAATTGTGAAATATTTTTACTATTTAAAACAGCTGTTTTCTGTGTGAATATCTGTTAAACTGTAATTTATTTCTGTGATGCGCAGCTGTATTTGTTCAAAAACTTTTGACTGGTAGTGTATACATATGATAGAAATATAAGAGGGTGATTTTTTTGTACTCATATCTTGAATTTTAGACTAATATAACTTATAACTCAGACACTGCATCAATGTATAATGATGGATAGGTCTGGACGGGGCGCTGCATTAAATGCATTTTAACACGTTATTTATTCCATAATTAATTGCACCAAATGAACGTGTTAAATAGACAGCCTAGTGCATGTCTGTATGAATATGAGGGATAAATCAGATGTAAACACGTGTCCAACTCAAACATGTCTCCCAGTAAAAGCGTGTCTTGTTAGAGGAGCTGTCATGATGTCACGAGTAATGTGACGTTTATGAACTAAACACTGCTGTTTTACTGCGCTAAAATAAAGTGCAGCGAGTGTCTCTATACATCTTACAGGAGAGTACCTGGATACAGTCAGGAGATCTTCGGTTACGGAGGAAGATGACTTTTAAAGGAATAGTCGCCCCAAAAAATAAGATCACTCTGTCATCATTTACTCTCCCTAAAGTTTCTTTCTTCTGTTAAATATAAGATAAGATAATCTGAAGAATGTTGGGAACATAACCATTTCTGGTCCCCATTGACTTCCATAGTGTTTTTGTCCGTATTATGGAAGTCGATGGGATCCAAAACCCATTTGAAACCAGAATTTGCATGTTTGGGTGGACTATTCCTTTAAAAGCTGTCCAATATTTTAGTGTCATTGAGATAATATTGTAGTTTTTATTAATTAATTATTTAGTTAATTAGTTATTTTTTATTTTCTGTTTATTTGAATTTTTGTTAAAGTTTTATTAAGTTTTTTGTGCGTTCTTGTCTAGATTTTTTTATATAAGTTTTTTTTTATTTTAGTTTTAGTTTTATTTATTTTAGTTTATTTTAGTTTATTATTTTCTGTTTATTTTAAGTTTTGTTAAAGTTTTAATAAGTTTTTTGTGTGTTTTTGTCTAGATTTTCTAATATAATTTTTTTACATTTCAGTTTTAGTTTTAGTTATTTTAGTTTATTATTTTCTGTTTATTTTAATTTTTGTTAAAGTTTAATAAGTTTTTTGTGTGTGTTTTTGTCTAGATTTTCTAATATGTTTTTTTTTTTAATTTCAGTTTTAGTTTTAGTTATTTTAGTACATTAAATTAAACTAAACGAAAATAGGGAAAAATGTGTTTTTTATTTTTATATTTTCTGTTTATTTTAATTTTTGTTAAAGTTTTAGTAAGTTTTTTAGTGTGTTTTTGTCTTTTTTTATTAGATTTTCTAATACAAGTTTTTTTTTTTTTTTGTTCAGTTTTAGTTATTTTAGTACATGAAATTAAACTAAACGAAAATAGGGGAAAATATGGTTTTTATTTTTATATTTTCTGTTTTTAAAATTTTTTATTTATTATTTATTTTTTTTGTAAAAACAGTCATTTTTTGTGTGTTTTACCATTTTTGTTTGCGTTTTTTAATGTCTATATAATTGTAATTATTATTTTTTTATTTCAGTTAGTTTGTTAATTTAATACATCAAGTTAAACTAAATGAAAAATTACTGACATTTTTGTTGAAGTTTTAGTAACTTTTTGTGTGTTTTGTAATTGTTGGTGTTTTTTATTATTTCTTGAGAAATGCTGCTTTCGGAACTAGTTTAATTAAAATAAGTTAAAGAAATTATATTTAATATTTTATAAATATTATTATATTCATAATTATATTATTAATTTATCATGTTATTTCAAGTAACAAAGAGTGTTATTTATGGTTTTAGTTCAGTATAATGAACTCTGGCGGTTCTGTTTCAGAAAGGCAGATTGTGAAAACACTTGGACTAACTCTATATTGGGGCAGAAAATAGTCTGAGCATGACTGCATGCTTTTATGAAACACAAATATTTCCAGTTGGTGATGGGAGTAATATTCTGCGCTGTAATTTGTCACTGAAGTTATTTTATGCTTCATTTGCGTCTGTTGTGAAAGAAAGCATCTCTAACCGTATCAGATGCGAGAGTTTCATCTGAAAGCAGAACATGCTGGATCTGAGGAATGTTTTTATGGTTGCTTCGTGTTATTTTAAGGCTTGTT